TTTGACGAATTTCTGTAACAACTAATCGTGAAATTTCATAACAACTGTCATTTCATGTCGGCAAACTTTAACTCAGAAGCAAAAGCATTCTTTTACACCTACGTATTTTGGTCATGCTAATTATCTTGTCATGCTAGTTTTATGTTTACCCACACAATGCGTGAACAATCGGTAAGTCTCAAATAAAATTAGCGACATACAAATCCCATTTAAATTCATAGTTTTACCATTTACATTTATATAGCAATATTTACATACGCTTCCTAAAGTTATATATACAAACGCAAATGTACATCAATATTGATCAACGTTAACGTCTACGAAAAGCAAAGGAATAACTTTATTCCTTGCTGGGGATTTTCGGTAGCGTTCATTTCAAGTAAAAAAAGTTCATGCAATAAAACAATGTTTATACCGCAACACGCGCCATATTGATCTGAACTTTCAGCATTGTTTATTTTATTTTCGCCGTAGGAAGTAAACATTATTACACAACAAAAAACGTTTTTAAAACAGTTGGAAAATTTGATTAACCGCAATCTCCCTGTCAATACCTACTTTGTGACTTTAGGCGGTACGAAACAATGAAGGCGAAACGAAATTCCAAAAAAAAGGCCGCTACATTCAATTTATATAATCTAGTTTTATTTACGTTATAAGCTAGCATCAAACCGAAATGTCTTATTGATAGAATTGATTAATGAAAGCCGGTGGTAGTGGAACAGGGTTTAATAATTGTATATGTCGCTTCCCGAGTAACAAAAGGGAATTTCGTTTAAGGTTTTCGAATTCAAGATAAATGAGTCGAATATATTGGCCATGTTTAACATTAAAATGCGTCCTTTCGCCTTCATTCGGTGGTGAAGTGTATTTATGGCAATTTATCGACTGGAATTTAAAAGTTGCCGGTATTGTACGGAATTTATAATTAAGTCGGAGCTTAAAGGACGCGCTTTTGTTGTATCGTCGGATTGGTGCGTCGTGGGAATAAGTATCAAAATGTAAGGAAAGGTTGATGGAAAATATGATTTATTTCGTTCGTGTAGATTGATCTCACGCAATTTCATTGCACGATACGTCATTTCCTAGGTCAATTTCGACCCAGTGAATCAGTTAAAAGATTAATTTTGTTATTACTTTCAGCAGTTTGCACGTACGGAATATGATAAGAAAGTGAGGTAATTTTGAAAGAAAACTTATAACAATTTAGGAAGGAATCATTTTGAAACTAAAGAAGTAAAAAAATAGGAAAGCCAATTTAGCCAAATATTGTGCTCGATATTAAGTCTACATGCATCAACCCTTAGAAGTAACGTCAATATCGAGGTTAATACATTTTATAAACGATTTTTTTCTTAGAGAAACACAACAAAATTAGGAATTGTTTAGTGGGCCGACTCTGTAGAACAGCTTTTGGCTAAATCTTGGCCCATTAATTTTCAAATGGTTTGTAATAGTAATATGCAATTCTTTAATAAGTGATGATAGAGCGAAAGGTATTTTATATTACTCACAAGACTAGATAAAACAATAAAGGTATTTAGACATTTTCTATATACCTATACAGGGTCGCTGATAAGTCTGGAAATGATGTACGATTGATTCAAAACTCGATACCCCGGAAACGATTGAACTTAGGTACATTATGCTTCTTACAAACTTTGCGTAAAATTGGGAGAAGAATTGAAATATGGAATGATTAAAGGGTGTTCCATACAAAAGTGCAATTTTGGTGTGCCACGCCTTTATGACCAACTCTGTGTAATTTAAAATTCTTACTGCATAGTACCTATAGACATTGAAGAACCTTAAACGTTTATATAACCCTTTTTTAATGTCTTGTATTAGGATTTTCCTCGATAATCGTCCATTTTCAGACTTATCAGCGACCCCGTATAAATGTGTTTTAGAGATCCCTAGATAGGCAAAGATTCTGTACGGGAACTTTTCAGTTTCTAAATTCATGACAGCTTCTCTCGAGATTCTGAATCAAATATAAAAAATACACATTGAAATGATGTTTTACAGATGTTCTCTCAAAGATTGTTTAGAAGTTCAAGTTTGAATGTCTTTGTAATTTGAATTGTATCTGGGCCCTGGGGGTGTACATTAAAGCCCTGCTGCAATTTATTGATTACCAATTTACCTTGCTTTTTATTGAAGATGAAATCCGAGATGAAATCACAACCAGGGAACGGTATCATCATCATCACCATAAGAATATAAAAATAAAGTAAATTTTGCTAGCTCCCTCGGTTTTCTATTTACGTTACTTTTCTACTTTCTCGGTTTTCTCCTTTAGCTGAAATATTGTTACTACAAAAGGGGTTCTTTGAGTATAATGACAACAACGGAATTTAGTATTTACATAATAACTCATGAAAGTGGTCGTTTACATGACGCGGAGGCTTATTGAAAAGTACGAGGACGCGCAGCGTCCGAGTATCTCTAACGCCTCCAAGTCAGGTGGACTCACTTTCATGACATATTATGTATAAAATTTTACCTGAAACCACAACATGTAGATAACTATTCCAAATTAAATTATTCATATGTGTTAAATTTTGATACCTAATCACGCATGCTAAAATCACTTTATTAATTGTTTCCATAGAGATTTCAAAATAATTAAAACAATCAGTGTCATTTTTATGCAGTTTGCAGTTTATGCTTTGTACTTTTCAACTATACAGTCTTTATAACTAGGTACAAAAGCAGGTATCAGTGAAGAAGAGTACCTACGCGAGACGTTGTTATAATGTAGCCGAAGCTGCGGCCGCCGTAATGCAATATTCGCTCCACACAAAGTCAAGAAAGAGGTACGAAAAGGCGTACAAACCTTTTATTGACTGGCGCAAAACTAAAGGAATATTACACATATTCCATTACTTGTTCGTAATAAAAAACCATTATCCTTTGTGTAGGTATATTAATATTTAAAAATATCCACATAGTCTACATTATAATTATCCAATCGTTGAATAACTTATTCAATGAACGATATAATTGTTATTTTGCATGTAGTAGGACTGTAATGGGAGTCAGGCAAAAATATTACAGTACTAGTCAGGTAAAGATCAACTTTCTAATGTCAAAATAGCCCTGAAATTTAGATTTTCTTGACGGTTTCAGGTAAAATAAATTACAAACATTACTTGTCAAACTGGCGTTACCTACTTACGGTGTATTATGAAAGTGTCCAAAGGAGTTGCCAGTTGCCATGGATATGGACGCTTTCTACAATGCAATTATCACTTATAATTGCACAAGAGGTTTGTATTTTACCGACAATTCAACTCATGTATAAAAAATCGCATAAGCCGCAGTGCAATTGTCACTTTGACAGCGGCAAAAGTTACCTGCATCTTTCCCAGCGACCAATGCACTAGTGGTTTTTTCACTATTCATTTTCGAACCAGTTATCGCATTATCCTTTCCCATATGACTAGTTTGACGTCTGTCAATAATTGATTAGTTTGGTGAATTTCTTGTTCGTTAAATTGTCCTGCCGAATTACACTCGAGGTTTGTATTTAAACCGAGTAAATTTGGTTGTTGCAATTCAAATCTGTTGCCTTTTAGCAATTGAACTCGAAAAACTGTCAACCTAAAAATGCTCCACCTACGGTGTCGCATTTTGATTAGTTGACAGTTTTTCTCGTCTAATTGCTAGGCAACAGATTTTCATTACCTAAACAACCCAAATTTACTCGGTAAAATACAAACCTCTTGTGCAATTATAAGTGAGTATAATTTGGGTTGTTTAGGTTAGTGGTTGATTATCTGTTGCGTCTAATAATTGCAATTAATTACACTCGAGGTTTGTATTTAAACGAGTAAAAATTCAAATCTGTCCTTTTAGCAATTGAACTCGAAAAACTGTCAACCTAAAAATGCGGTGTCGCACAGTTTTTCTCGTCTAATTGCTAGGCAACAGATTTTCATTACCTAAACAACCCAAATTTACTCGGAGTGCATTTTGAGTAAATTTGGGTTGTTTAGGTAATGAAAATCTGTTGCCTAGCAATTAGACGAGAAAAACTGTCAACTAATAAAAATGCGACACCAAAGGTGGAGCATTTTTAGGTTGACAGTGTCACTGTAATTGAGCGATAATTGCACACCTCATATGGGATTTATTACATATGAGGGAAAATATTCCATATAATCATATCATGGCATAATAATACTTCAGATGACTTTTGCAATAATTTTGGCCACTTTGTGCTTATGCTTATGTTTAATCTTAAATGAACTATTTACTTCGAAATTGTAGCGTTTCGAAAAAGATTTCACATTGCCCTTTCGGAATACTAAAAGTCGAATTTGCCAAATATATTTTGTAGGTCTCCACATTATGTTTTTGTTTGTCTAAAGTCGAAATTCAGACGAGAAACTTTGATATTATACCACTTCCGGAATAATTTATTAGGCTGAGTTACACGTCTTCGCCCGTATAAGTGTCAACTTCAAACTAACAGCTACACTCTTGAAAGTTCACGATTGTAATTTCGTACGCCATTGTTGTTTTATTAGGGAATGTACAACGCCGACAGTTCCAAAATTTTTCAAAGGCTAAATTTTCGATTAGCGTTCTGCTTGAAGCGCTTTTCACTTTTACCACTGCGCGCTTTGCCGACAAATGAGACGATGTGTTCCTTTAGGCGTTTTGTACTTTGAGTCCAAATATTTTGCATAATTTCCACGGCACCGTCGGCGTCGATACAATGTGAAACTACCTTTCCGAAGCTAGCGACTTGTACAGGGTACCCTCATTTCACGACGAGATAGATAACTCGAAGGTACAGAAAGTTTGGTAGGGTTTGTAAAAACTTTTAATTACATCGGGGAAGCTATACATCAGCAATTGTATATATTGTCCACCAAAAGTTAGATTTGTGAATTAATATGATAACGGATTGAGCTTTCGCCAAAGTTATTCTATTTTCTCACTGATTGTATTTCTCGACGACCAGCACTTATCTCGTATTTTTGTTTTAGGTGGGAGAGCTTTTACTTCAAGCTGTCATTTTAAACGTAAGTATATAACGGGCGATCAAAAACGTCAAGTCGCCTTTGGAAGTTGAAGTTAAATTCCCATGTAAACAAAAATTCCAAAGATGACGCGACAGTAACTCTTTTTTGATCGCATAGTACTCATTCATTTATTGCGGAAGTAACAGATGGGAATGTAGATGCATACAAAGTCAAAGTAATTGAATCAATCGCATTTTATTAGATGAATGTTATTCTTTGCCGTGGGTAATTGATGTAACATTCTTTCTTATAATGTGTTAATGATGAATGGGCGTGGTTATGGTAATTACCCGTCCGTCTTTATTGAGCGCACATTATGTCTATTGTTACGGAGTCGACTTTTTAACCGCAACTGCTGGTTTACCGTTCTGCATTTTTTTCAGTGAACAAGCCTTTTATGCGGGTTTCTAACTTTAATTTGTTGATTTCTATTTGCCTGACATCAAAATTCCGTAAAGTATAATTTGAAGTCGATCTCCTTTCTTAAAATCAGTTTAATGAAGAATCTTGTCTCAAATGTTTGATTTACTAACAAATTTGTGAACTCCGTACTGACTTACTGACTGTTGTCGCATTTGTTACACCCAGGTTCACAACACTCGGGAATAAATGGAACTAACAATTTACTATAAGATCCCTGCTGGCTTATAAGGCAAAAAGCATGATAAACCTGAAGATGTTGGTTCCCTCCAAATAAAGCCGGACCTATTGATGCTTATCTTTTTATCACTGGAGATAGGAACCAAATTAGCAAATATCTAATTAATTAATAAAAAGCAACAACAACTTATGAAAACTACTATAACACTACAAATAAAAGAATGAATGTGGCCAGTGCGAAGTGAGCATTAAATACAAATACATTTTTCAAATTTTTTGTCAGCAATAAATATGCAAAAAGATGCGTATGAATGGATAAGTCCTATTTAGGGATGTTTGGGCACTAATTGTATCAAATGTTACGATACTGATATTAAATGTCATCCCCAAAAAAACTCCCATAAAATTTACACCTTCCTTAAATACCCACACCAATAAAATTTATGAATATAGGCATGATATTTTATAAAGTACCTGACGGTTTTCTTAGGTGAACGTAGGGAGAGCGAATCCAAATTAGGGATTTTTGTACCATTATATCAAATATTGCTACTAAATCAACATACATCATAACGCCATTAAAATGTATACACATGGATTTCAATTTTTTAGTTCAAAGCATCACAAAAAACAAAGTGCTTTGACAAGTATAAGTATACTGATAATCTTTTCAAAAACCTTTTTCGGATTAGTCTCTCCCTATCTTTTTTGAATTAATTGATGTCCCTGTAATATATGGCGTTTAGTAATGAAGTGAACCATCTTTTTTAAGACCAAATCTGATTCACACCCCGAAGTAAAAGCGAGTTTTTAAGCCTATAATTGGACCACCCTGTACATTCTCTACTATCAAACTTATAACAATACGCACCCTTAAGAGAATGTAATTTGAATTGTACAGAAAATTCGAAAAAAAAATACGCTACAGTCCCGTTACGACGGAAGATTAGACTTCTCTATTAAGAATGGGAGAAATATTTGGTTCAGTGCCTAGTGCCTACAGCCGCGTTGTTCGTAATAACGAAGTGAGAGGCACCAAACGTAATAGAACTAAAAATATGCTTACGTTTTATGGAGTTACCCATGCGTTATTTCGGAAAATCAAAAAAGGACATTCGTATGACCGTATCTCTATATATGTACAGGGTCTAAATCGAAAAGTGGAACATAGGCGTTTAACATGGGAAATTACTTTTTCTTTGCGCAAAGGTTTCCTAATTATTTTACGCAAAAATACTTCAAATAAAAGTTATATAGAGATATAAATTCTGCACCTAAATCATGTGCAACGATTATTCTACCTCTCCTTGTACGCGAAAAAATTAATTATAAAGATTCTGTTTTCACGAGTTTTTAGTCTAAGTATCCATGGACTATGTTTTTCTTTTATCATGCACAACCCAGATATTTGTAGCGTAATCCCATTGAATGAGTTTCCACTCGACTTTCACAGTGCAAGGTTGTAAATCGAGTGCTGAGTGCGACACAAACGATATCATTATCCCTGACCGGCAGGTCAGTGATATTATTTTGATTCATATTTACATTGCACATTTACCTGCGTAATAATTAACCACTTCACATCCAAAATGGCACTCAACCAGCCAACGAATTATCATATGGGACAAACCCAACCACAACAGCTACCGCACCAATCAATGTACAATATGACACAACAATTTTATCCCATACAAAACCAACTATCACAAATCCCAGCATATGCATATTCCCAACCGGCGACAAACTATCAACCAACAAAACAGCCCCCTTTGTTTATGGAGCAATCAAACTTCAATCCGCAACAAAACGAATGGCAAACAGTAAATAACAAAAAAAGAAATCGAAGCCCTGAAAAAACTCAACAAGTTACCAAAAAGAACCAATACTGGCTTGGAGATGCAATTACAACTAATAACAGATTCGACTCTTTAAGTACCGAAATGGATGATGTAGATTTAACACAAGAACGAAGCGAAAATACTCCCAAACTCCCGCAACCTCCACCAATTTTCATAGCAGAAGTCAAAAACATACAACCCCTAGTAACACTGCTAAACGAGATAGCCAGCGACAGCTATACTCTAAAAGCATTAGGTAGCGAACAAGTTAAGATACAAAGTAAAACAAGCGAAGTTTACTCTACCATCATTAAAAAACTCGTCGAAAAAGAAACACAATTCCACACGTACAAACCGAAAAAAGACCGAAACTTTAGAGTAGTCATAAAGAATATTCATCACTCAACAGACGTGACTGACATTGAGGCTGGTTTAACAGCGCTTGGGCATACTGTAGTTAATATATGGAATATCAAACAAGGAACATCCAAAAAACCCCTACCTATGTTCGTAGTAGAGTTAAAGCAACAAGATAACAACAAAGAAATTTATAACACAAAAATATTACTAAATACAAGTGTCGTTGTAGAACCCCCGCACGTCAAAAGAATAATTCCACAATGTCTAAAATGCCAGCGCTTTGGGCACACCAAGAATTATTGCCAACATAACTCCAGATGCGTTAAATGTACGCAAGTCCATTCCACAGGAGAGTGTCCGAGAACAATTAAAGACGATAAAGTTCGGTGTGTTAACTGTCATGGCAACCACCCAGCCAACTACCGTGGCTGCCTAGTCCACAAACAATTGCAAGAAAGACTATACCCAAGATTAAGAAAAGATGACAAAAATCTTTACAAAAGACCTTACCTACATTCCGAAACAACGCCAGGGATATCATACGCAGACAAAGCAAAAAATCAAGACCTATCCATGCCCTTCACTACTACAGAAAACATACCGCAATATCAAGCGATCCAACCAAACCAACAAGCCAGTGGCATTGAAGAACTACAGAACATGATGAAAAATCTCATTACACAAATAGGGACTATCATGAACCTTCTCACAACACTAATCACTAAATTAACATAATGGCTCAATTACTAAAAATAGTAGCTTGGAACGCCAACGGGCTAGGCCAACGTGCCCAGGAAGTCAAAATATTTCTTGAAATTCATGCAGTCGATATACTCCTGATTTCTGAAACGCATTTTACCGCCAGGAGCTACATTAAATTTCCACACTACACTGTTTACTCAACAAATCACCCCGATGGTTCAGCCCATGGAGGAACCGCAGTAATTATCCGTAATCGCATTAAACATCACGAACTTGCAAAATATCAAGAAAATCATATCCAAGCTACCAACGTCTCCATTGAAATTGAAAACATCCCAGCCATAATCTCAGCAGTATACTGTCCACCGAAACACCTAATCACTCCAGCAGCTTACACACATTTCTTCAAGACGCTAGGCAATAGGTTCATTGCAGTAGGAGACTACAATGCAAAACACGAACATTGGGGTTCCCGCCTAACAAGAACAGACGGACGTCGATTAATGACTGCCGTACAAACTAACAACCTTACCTGGTTATCCACGGGGGAGCCAACATACTGGCCCACTGACCGCCGAAAGAAACCAGATCTTCTTGACTTTGGTATTGTTAAGGGCATAAACATCCGGCAGTGTACCGTTTCATCCTGCTTTGACTTAGCAGCTGACCATTCGGCCATTATAGTAACTGTAAACTCACACATAACTCAGGTTAAAACTCAACCTGCAATTTATAGTAGACGAACTGATTGGGAATACTTTCGCCAAAGACTTGAATACCAATTAGATCTTCAGGTCCCACTAAAAGATGAGTACGACATTGAGAGAGCAGTAACCTCACTTACAGAACTCATCCAAAACGTAGCATGGGAAGCTACTCCTAAATTGCCCATCCCTCAACAAACTAACAATACACCTACCACAATAAAGGACAAAATAGCCGAAAAACGCCGACTCAGGAAACGATGGCAACTCACCAGATCGGACCTCGACAAACGAGAGTATAATAGGGCCAACAAAGATCTAAAAAAACTCCTTAGTCAACATAAAAATCAAGGAATACAGAACTACCTTGAAAATCTCAGCGCAAAAGAACAGTCAGACTATTCCCTGTGGAAAGCAACGCGAAGAATAAAAAGACCAACCCCACACGTAGCTCCTATTCAACAGGAAAACGGTATCTGGGCTCGGAGTAACAAAGGAAAGGCGGATGCCTTTGCTGAATATCTCACTAAAGTGTTTACACCCTTCCCTTGTCAACTCCCGGACGAAGAGGTCAAAATACAGGAATTCTTAGAGTCTCCGTTTCAAATGAGCCTTCCACTCAAGCCCTTTAGAATTAAAGAAGTAGAAGAAGAAATCAAAAAGATCAACACAAAGAAATCTCCAGGATACGACCTGATTGCTGGGACAGTTATCAAGCAACTACCAACTAAAGCTATACAAGCCCTTACACATCTCTACAATTCTATCCTCAGAATCCGGCACTTCCCAAGTCAAT